GCGCACGACCAAACGACGAGCTACGTGGCTGCTCTACATTTCACGTCAATATTAAGCCTGTGTTGTGTGGTTTCGTGGTACATAGGAGGACTTTGGTCATTTAAAAAGAGCACGAAGAAAGATAATGGAAACGGAGAGATGGCCGATGCGCGAAAAGACGATCTTGAATGCAACGCGTGAACGTTCACTATACTCGCATGTGTGTGATATAATTGAAATCGACGATAATAAGACAAAATTTTCATTGAAAGGCATTTAGCATAGTGCAGTGTTGATTAAGGAGAACAATTGCGTATTTTTGATAATTATATAAACTTTGTGATTTCTAAGCACAAGAGCGTTAGAGCTGGAGTTACAAAGAATTTTATTCGCCCATGGTCGGGGAACTTATATTTAGTAATATATAGTTCGTTGAATCAAACTATTTTCGACTGATCATTGTATAGCGTTAAATACTCCTCGAATGATGAGAAAACTTAAATAATTGATCATGTATATCTAAAATATCGCCTCATACGATAGCTTTATTACTGCCACATTATAATTCAGCCACATGAAAGCCCAATCGATCTGATTTCTGAAAGATTAAACATTATACATAAAAAATTTTATTTGGTGACTTGAAATTAAAAACAAAAACTTGTAGAAAATGGAATTGATCAATTTGGCTTCTAGATAATATCACATTATCATAAAATAGCTACTTTGTTTTACTCTCAAGTTTTACGTTGTATAGAGCAAGAAACAATTACAATCTTTAAAAATATACTGTATTTCTTAGATTTGTTGTTTTATTTTTTCCCTTCCAATCAAAGTTTTCTCTGTGATTGTCTTTTTGAAATATCTCCTCTGAATTTGAAAATAAAATTAATAATAATATTTTACTATTGTATGCTTGAAAACGAATGACGTTGACAAATTGTAAAATATCTGTGAAATGAAAGAAAAGAGATAATATACAATTGACGATATTATTAATATTTATTTTTCCAACCACTTACATCTTTTTCTATGAAAATGTTTCACGAGGAAATTAGATATACAAAGTTTAAGATAGTATCAACTACCTTATCTTCTTCATTCCCTCTTTATTTCTTATTTCCATAAATTCTCATTCGATCGACGATCTCCTCCTTCATTACTTGATAAATCGCAAATATCATTTAATTTCAAATTGCAAATATTAAAATTATATCAACAACAAATCACATGCACGATACGAGAAACCTTGTGAAGGTTGATTGTAAGTAGTCGGTTTATTCGCTTTATTCGCTCGACAAATTCTTACAATCGTCAATCTTCCACGATTAGAATGTCGAGTTCATGCAACACAGTTAATGAAAATTCAAAACAGCGTTATCAGAGATCGTAGCGTAAACAGAAATCGCCTAATGGCGTACGAGTACGCGACGAGCAGCTTTCTTTTCTATTTCTGGGTGAAGAGATGCAAGAACCAGTATCTGGCGTTTCTTCACGGTCGTGGCAAACTGGTATCTTGCCAACTGGTAATCGAGCGAAACGATGCTCCAATAATCCAATACTATCCATCTAACGGAATAGCAAAGTGTAATACTACGTATGTATCACCTTGATGCTATCGACGCCATCGATGCATCATGCTCGATAATAAAAAGTGATGTAGAGACGTGAGTTAATGCGTAGCGCTAAAATACTGTTTATGACTTCTTGTTTAACAAATTGTTACAAATTACATGTTGCACAGTCATTGCTGTTGGCCTGTTCTTTGATGTTGGCAGAATAATCTCATAGTTTTATTATGTATTTTAGTAATCATTTGCGCGTCTATGTACCTTCATTTTTGTTTTATAATTGGTGAGCTAATTGAAGAGAAGACGTACAATGAGTCTATTTAAAAAGGAAAGATTATTTATTCCACTTTTACTGCACAACAGACACTTTATGCATATTTTGCATATTATATATACCTTTTAGCTTTTGATGAAGCTGTTTTCAATTTTTAAAAATAGCTTCTAGTATAAGTTGTCACGTATAAATATAATATTTGTAATATTGATAAATGTATTTTAATTTATCGATTGACGCGTAGATATGCGGTAACGAAAGCGTTGCACATTCAGCCGCATCTTCGAACGATCGCCCATCGGATTCCACATCGTGCAAAAGCAAAAAAATTCAGTGAAAGAGATTCCAAGTGACAGTGGTTTCTAGGTCAGTGGAACACGCGGAAAGTTTCGTTGGGACTTCGTTAAACAGCATTTACGACCATGCTCCGCGAGTTTTCTTTTCTTTACATACATACATACATACACACATACATACATACATACATAAATACGTAAACAAACACATAAAAAACGTAAATAAACAAATAAAGACGTAAACA